GCCAGCCTTGCTACATGCATAAAGGCCTTACCGTTTCATCTACATCCATAGGTTTCTCTTCCAAGATGGTTCCTACAGTCGCTGACTGTGCTTTTCCTAAGCCTTGCTTATTAATGAGGATTCCCAAATTTGCATTTCTTCAGCAGGCTAAGGACAGGGGACGTAAGGTCTAGGGAGACAAAGAGGTCATTCGTTCCTGGACCGCTCCCTGATTTTGAAAGAGCACAGACAAAAATGTCAAGAAACAAGAGAAAAGTCTAATATTAAAGCAGCAGTGAAGCGAGGGGAAGGACGAGTTTATCTTACTTTCTTGGAGAACGTCCCTAAAACAAGTGCAGAAAAAGAAAAGGCACAAAGTGATGGGGGTGCTAATACTATAAAGAAAGAGGCTCAGGGTCCATAGAGCCCTGACATACCCTGTGAAACGAGCTTGGATTAGACAGACTCCTCTTAAACAGTATGAATGCAATTGCTATGTGGACTTCAAACACTGAAAGAAAGATGAAGATTTTGTTTACTGCAAATGCTTTTTCTTGTACCTTAATGCCCAAAAAGTAAAACAGAGGCTGGATTTATTCTGAAACATGGTCCGGAATTTTAAAACAGGCTTTTGTATACACAAACAAAGGGAACATGGGAAACAAGAGCTTTACTTAAATGTCAAGGATTACATTGTACCAGGTAAAACTGAAATGTAGCAGAGGGACTCAGTTTCATAAATGAAATGTCATTGCTGATGGGTACAAATTATACAAGAAAGATGGAAAGGGAAACAGAGGTGGCACTTCGTCAGATGCATTTCCAGCTGCAGCAAGGTACAGTTCAGTTGCAAAGAGAGCAGCAGTAAAAAATAAAGAAAACAAAGAAAAACTGAAGCGCTCATCTGCTACAGCCTACTCCAGCAACGAGAAAGCAGGAATAAATTAGTCTCTCTCAAGGCACTCAAAGCCACAGGTTACCGTACTTGTGGGGAATTTAGCTGCCCACATACCTTTTAACAAGCACCGCCAAACATTGGCCAAAGATGTTCACGTGTTACACAGAAACCTGCTCTAATCCAGACACTAGAGGTTCTCAACAAAGAAGTCGAAAAATCCCCAAAAAACAGGAACTGTAGCTGAGAAATTAAACGTGACACCAATGAACAAACTATCTGAATGTAACACAGTAAAGAGTTTATTTGTTTGACTTAGAAAAGGTCTCTGGCATAATTCACTGGACACATATACATTAAATATACAAATGCATACCAAAAGAAACCCAGAAGGCACACATTCAGCCAAGGGGCTCATTCAGAACCACTCACCATTTCACGTCAAAAAGAGCAAGCCGTGAGCCCCAGCTTCGTTACCCTCTGTCCAAAACCAGGACCGCAAGCGTAGGCCCTATGGTACGCCACGCAGATCAGCAAACCTGGGCTGACAAGTCAAAGAGTAAACAAGATCTGGAGAACAGGCGTCCTCTTGGGATTGTCCAGGGTCAGGACACAGATAACAAAGAGAGCTAATCTGTGCTTTAAAATAGCAACAGAACAACAAATGTCTCCCATCTTTCCCGCCCCCTTGGGAGGTTAGTGACTTGGGTGCAAGAGGTGGCTTCTTGGGCAAGGACCAAATGATAGCTTATTTGAAGACTGCTGTAGGTACTGCAGTACCTTCAGCCTCTGCTTGCAGACTTCCAACAGAATTCATAACCACTGCTCCTTGCCCCTCTGCCCTGCAGCACCATCAACCACATTTTATCTAGAGAGTGATAGAGATTCATTTTACAGGTCACAGCTTCAGGTTTCTAGCACTCATCAAGAACCACAATTAGCAAAACTAATCAAAATAAATGCAGTCACCTCACCCGGACTCATATCTGTTGCTATAGGAGCAGCCAAATAGTCCAAGTTCAGCTGATCTTATCTTCAGGGAAGAACAAGTTCCACCAGAGTCTGAAACATCCACTCTGGATCAGCAAGGCTGCATGCATCCCCAAAGAGTCACGCTGAGTTTAAGGAGCAGATTCATATCATGCAAGAAAGCAAGTTTGCCCTCTCAAATTAAGTAATTAAACAGTGCGTGATAAGCCTAAGGAATTTTACTAGACCCTGGAGTCAACGCATGAGACTCGACTTCTGTGACAGGGGAAGGAATTTAAAAACAAGTAAACACTACCTTTCAGGAACTGGAGTGGCAACAAAACAGAAGACAAACAGATGAGAGGCTCTCATTGGAAGGGAGATCCTGTTAGCTGATGAGGTTAAAGAAAAGTGCTCTCACGTCTGTCACAGGAAAGAGAAAGTAAAGCACATTAATAAGCAAGCACAAAAGGAAAGGAAGGGCAAGTGAAATCAGCCTCTCGGACTATTTGTGAAGTCACTCCACCCAAGATGAAGCAACAACAATATAAAACCAAAGAGATAGAGGACTTCCTGGAAAACCTGACCATATATATCAACATGGTACTAATTAGTTAATTAACCTATTGCACAATTAATAAATAAATAAATATTTTAAAAGTCTGGGAGAACAAGGAAGCACCAGATGACAATGTTCTTATCAGCACAAAAAGTGGAACAATGTTGGCCTGATAACTTTATCTCTGATCTCTGCTAACAAAGTGAAATAAATACAAGGAGAGAAAAAAAATCTCCCAAACGTCTAGAGAATAACGGAAGTATGGCAAAATCAAGCCATTTTAGACAATCCTACAAACATACAGCCGAGTAGCTTTTGGCACATGAGCAGTACACCTGAAGCCAACAGGATAACTTGTGTATTAAGTTACTTCTTCGTCCAAGTGATGGTGTCATTTCCAACACCTTTTTTCTCCCATTACCAGGAAGAATTTTATAAAACACTGCTGATAATAGGAGCTGACAGACCCAGCTGTAAAACTACAGCTTATTCCCAGAAGGCTATATAGAATAGCTATATAGAGTAGCAAGCATTTAACCCACTGAGTATGTTTAGTAGAGGGCACAATAGTTTGGTATTTTAGGGTCTCAAGACAGTCTATAGGGTAAACTCAGAGTAAAACAGACCTGCTTGCCATTCAAGTTAAATACACTTCCAGGAAAGGCAGTTATCTATCAATCAATCAATCAATCAATCAATTTTGTCATCAACTCTAGGCAGTTGTTTCAGTGTAACAACCACTACTACAACCCAGCACCTAGAAGAGTCTTTGGAACAGCTTGTTCTGTGTTGGGAGTGCAGCAGTTGTCTTTGCTGTGAATTTCTTGTGCACTGAAACAACCCAATTTTCTCTAAATAAAAAGAAAGAAAACTAAACCTGTGTTTTTCTTATGTCCATATAGTTTTTGGCAAGTAGGTATGTTAGTTTTCAGGTGTCTACTTACAATTAAGATTTATATTTCTTAGGTATCACAAGAGGGCTTATTTATGACAGCAGAGTATGTAATTTAGATGGCAAGAAAGCAGAGTGAAACATCAATCCACACACTGAAGAAACAAAAACAACCTGCTTCTCTACTCTGTTAGTGGGTAGAACTGGAAAAGGGCCAGTGAACAAGAGGACAGAGGTGTCAAACAGGTCCCATGTAATGAATAGCTACGTATACCATGAACCTGCAACTTGGAAAAAGTGATGACTGAGGACATATATGACATAGGTCTGTAAAATCACAAGTGGCAAGGAGACAAGTAATAGAGGTGGTCATCACTGTATCTGACAGTGGAAGAATAAGGGTCACTCGATGAAATCATCAAGAAAACCATTAAAACAGCCTGATAACAGTTCTTTTTCATACCACATGATGAACTCAGGGTTCATTGCCACAGAACACTGTGGAGGCCAAAAGTAGAAAAGGATTTTTAAAAAGGGGCTAAGTGCATTCATTAAGGCCAGGTCCAGAAGAACTGCCGGTTCAGAAAAGCCATAGACTGCTGGAACAGTGTCGGAGAAAGACCTCTGCATAAGAGCTTTACATTTTATGCTTCTGTGACCACCTATTACTGGCTCTCCTCAGAGACAGGATAGCAGATCAGATGGCCTTTGGTGTGATTGCATGCAGTGCTTCTTATGGATCAAAGCTCTTGATTTTATCATGATTTAGAGTTTGGAAAGGTTAACTTAAAAAAAAAAAAAAAGGAACATTTGCAAAGCTTGTATGCTCCTCTGCTTCCTCTTTCAAGCCTCAAAGATGTGCTCCTTAATCATTCTGTTTCCATGAATGGTAAAGTATTGCTGAATTAGCAACAAACAGGATTTTGAACAGCCACTGAAGGCTGCATTATTGCTCCCAGATCCTGCCCAGTCCTCCTTATAAGGCATTTCTCTTGACCCAGTCTCACCTGCAGGTTAAACAACCCCCTATATTCAATTTTTTCTCTTTACTACATTCTTGCTAAATCACTTTGTTTGACTGCTATATTTATGACATGAAACAGTTAAGATACTAATCTGTTGGCCTCTGCTAGCTAAACCCTTCTCCCTGACCACTCATTTCTATGTGAATAAGTGACAACAGGAATCTACAGGAAGATTCCTTGTTGTCAAAGGATTGCTACGCGGTCTGTAAACATCCTTATTTCACACAGAATTTGCCACTTCGATTGGATTTAGCTTTCCAGCCAGTCAGACCAATACATTTCTGCAGTGCAGTAGAGTAAACAATGCAACACAGTGATTCTGAGTCTGCAGCTAGACAGACTGAAGTAGCAGCACAAGTAAGTCAGAAAATCTCCTGCATTTATCTGGACACAGGGCGAGCTCTGAGACCAGTCATCACAGTTGTTTTTATATATAAAATATGTGTGCACACCGACATATGGACTAATACATTCATCACTAACCCTCATTTAAGGGACCGACAATCCAAAGTCTACGCTTCACCCAGTAAATGTGCTTTAGCTGGGGGTGCCAGGTGCATCCAGGACCGTGCAGTGGCTTGACAGACCACTGAGTGAGGACATGGCTGTAGGTTCAAAATCAATCAAGAGATTACTGTTCCAGCTTGTTCAGTCTTCAGTTCTCCAGACAATCCTTCCCAATCAAGATAACACACAGGTAGGTTGTTTGTTTTTATCGCTCGTAGTGGAGTTTGGACCCACGTTACCTGGAATGAAAAGAAGTTAAAAGTAATGTTAATGTTAAGTAAATAAGACCTGGGTAAAGTTTGGACTCATGCTTCAATCCTCTCTCGTTATTTACTATATACCTTGTGTTAGACCTACATTACTCCGTGCTTTCTCGTGATTTTATTTCCTACTATTGTGAAATGAAGAGGCATTAAAATAAGAGCAAATTCAGAGTATACGGTGGAGAAAACCACTGGAGAAGTATTTCCAACCTTTGGCCTGTACCCAGGCCAGCTTCAGTGTAATCAGAGGTCTCAGTTGGCACTGAAAAACAGTCTGGACATGACTTGGGTAGGAGGTTTTCCACAGAGTGAGGGATGAAAAAAAAAAAAGTCAGGTCATCTCATCCATTTGATCCCCACATATATTCTCAGGAGAGGTTTTTTCACATCCAGTTTTAAACATCTCAAGTGCCGGTATTTCCACCATTTCCTTTGCAAGAGAAATCCTGAGGCCTCAGTGTCTCTCTCACTTAAGTAGCATAGTACACTGCCCCAGTTTTTTATCATCTTAGGGTTTTTTCATTGATCACTCTATGGATTCCTTCTGCTCCCAGTATCTGTACTTTTCAACGCTTGCACTGCTGTCTGATCTCCTTTGTTACAGCCAGATGTTGGTCTGGATGCACCAGCATAGTTTTTTCAAAGCACTGTACTAAAGTGGGTTTGCATAGGCTTTGGCAAGTCAGGGAGCTCTGCTGTGCTCTGAGCTCAGCAAGGCTTACGTATCATATAGCCCAGGGCAGTATGTACTGAGAGGGGCTGCCACACGGCATGCAGTCACTCTGAAGAAGGGCAGATCTCACTCATGTATTTCTACAGAAGGAAGATATATGTGCATCTCCCAAGCAGTTGGAGCCAGTGGCCAGTACAGAGTAGAACAGGGAAGGAAAACTGCCACAGGTTATGGTGACATGCTACTGAGAAGTCTCAACGTTGCTGAGATGAGGGAGCTTTCACTCCAAGCACTGCCTCTGAACTGGGCTTCAAATGAATCATTTTTCATGTCACACTCTTGCTTGTGGGTATTTTATCAACATTCTCCTCACCTGTAGGTAATGGGGAAGAAAAAAGCTCTCTCCTCTCCCCTTCCTCCTCTCCACCTTCTTCCATACTGCAACTTCTTGATATCCACATGGGAGGCTGCACTGCAAGCCCCCCTCACTTTTGTGGCTGCTCTGTGTGCTACTGCCTCCTCCCCACATCGCCCCATGGCATTTCATTCTACCTCCTGTCCCCCCCTGCCCCATTCTGTATGTTACTACTAAGTTTATCATTACTCCTATCTCCTCACCACCCTGTTCCCCTCCCTGTCTGTATTACATTCAAGACCCTCATGTTTACTTTCAAAAGTGTCTGTGCTCCTCTGCTTAATCTCAACTCCCAACTCCTTTATTCTTCTCACTTTCTACTCTTGTCTTCTGACCTTTTTCTACAGATCCCGCTACAGTTAGAGCAAACACCCTCCTTGTATGTCCCCAAAAACATTTCCCTCTTTCTCTTTAGAAGAGAGGCTGAAAATTCCAGTTACCACCCATCCATATAATCCCACTTTGGCTGAAAAACACCGGTGATAACTAAGCAGCTATTTCTGCAGTATTGCAGGGCCTAGGGTAAATCCCCTTTTCTGTTGCAAGAAGTACCCAAAAGTGAAACACGAAATCCTGCTATTAAGTATATGTGTGCTGCAACCAAGGCTTACAAGGAGCGAAGATGTGTGGAGATGTATGGAGAAACTCAGGTCAGCAGACCCTCCTGAATGAGCCCACTTTGCTTCTTGCAGAGGAGAAAACAAAACAAGAAGCCAGCGCCTTCCAAAGGCACACAGCTTTCAGAGCCTTGCAGTATTTCCCAGGAACCACACACAGACATCAGTGTCTTTGCTGATCACAGTCTGCCCAGCAGCAGCTTAAAATTAACAAGATTCTGGTCAGGTTCAGAGCTGCTGCTGTTGTGTTCCTAAGCGGACAACAGTGAAATTCAAGACTTGTGTCAGTTTGATGATGTGGTTTGAAGAAAGCCTTGTAAGACAAAGCACAATCTCCATGCAGTGTGCTAGGACAACACCTCAGGGTGTTAATTTCGACACTTAGTTTGGGACATTACTATCTGTAACCCTTGTATTTTCCAGACTCCCAATTCTGACTTGTAGGTATCACTTCCTAGCATGTAAATACCCAGTCAGATTTTCAGAGTCTGTCACAGAACACATTTTCATCACTTCCCTTCCCGGTTCAGAGTCTCTTCATCACCATTTGCTCTTACAAGACTGAACCTGACCTTTAACCTGCTTGAATGATGTCTTTCAACTACTCTGTGAGCTACTCAGGGTGTGGATCTGATCTCTCTATGCATTTGCAAGGTGGGATGTGTCTCTGTTGTACTACAGAATTAATAGTGACTTTGGAGGATGTGTGCACAAGCAGGCCCACAGGGCTTAAGTGTGCTGTTTAGTCTTCACAAAAGGTAAGGGCAGCTATGTAAAACCGTGAAGCTCTGCATAATTACATCCTAACCTGACTGCATACCAAGCACATTCTTCCTCCTTCATTTCCACTTCTTACCTCCCTTCTGTCACCTGAGTATCACAGCATCAGTTTTTATGAGAACTGCCCAAAGATAACTTCAACTTTTAAAAGTAAGTCAGTTCCACAGTTACCCAAGAACAAAGTGCCTCCTATTTTTATCTTGAAACTGGAACTCTATTCCATGCCCATGTTCAAGAATTTTTTATTAAATCCTAATGAAGGATGATGAAGTAGCTGCAGCATCCTTTGTGGTGATTCATTTTTTTCCTCTTTCTCATGAGTCTCCATCTTTCTAATGTGCCCTCTATCATCTCTCTTCACATGCCACTTTGGTACCACTAGACTAGAGAAGCTTTCTCTCAGGAACAGTGATTCAATTCAAAAGCAACACACAAGTAGTGATCTTCCTCCAGCCTTTTACAACACCCGGTGACCAAAGTATACTTATACCATACCTCAAGAGCTGTGGAGTCTCCCATTGCCACCATGAACAGGCATTCTAAATTTGCATAAAACAAAAAAATACTTGCATGGACTCCTTGGAAAGACTTACCAGGTCAGGAAGAGCACAGCGGGAAGGGTGGTGTGCCGGACCTCTGTGCCTTCCCTGCACCTGTTCTCAATTCTTCCTTCCCCTTTATTGAAAGAGGTGGCAGCCCTCAGGAAGTAGCAGTGGCAATAAATAAAACCTGAACATAATAGCATGATAGTGTCTTTGTGGAAATGGTCCAGACCAAGCATCAGACTGTCTGGTACAGACCCACTGTGTTAAAAGGAATAGGGACATCCCAGCTGCCCTGACTGTGCAATGCCCCAGAAGGGCGCAGCACCCCACTGTTCAGTTAGAGACATCAATCTCTTTCGTGCCTTAATCTGGGCCTAATTGCATCATGACATTGTGGGAGTGGCGGGCTGTCTGCTTTAAAACAGCTGATGGTGAGAAACGTAGGGAATCTCTGATACTGTAAAGTGCTAACAAATCAGAGATTACACAATTCCCTACTTCTGTCACTAGAGGGTAGTGCAAGCCCTCTGCAGGTCCATTCCTCTGAAAGGAAATGCCCATACATCTCCCCATAGGTCTCCACGGATTTCGTTTTTCCTGGCTCTGAGGAATGGGGCCCAGCAGCACATACTGTCTGTGCTCAAGACTTAAAGTGATTTGGAGAGAGGACCTCTTTAGACCAAGGTTTACTTCTGCCTCCCCAAATGCCGAACACACATCCTGAGATGGGTCTAGTATAGTCTTAAATAACCTATCTATGCCTTCATACAGTTCCTCTCTCTTGTGTTCGTTTGGCATATTTGAGTCTGTCCTTCATTCAGCCAGAAATATTTCTAAGAACTTAATCAATTGCTATTGTTGACCTTCCCAATATCTTGCTTTTCTTTTTGGTCTCAGGAGAATGTCTTTCAATGACACATCACGGCAGGCTCAAGGGAATTCAGTCTCTCTACACCTGCATTTCGCATTCATCAGAGCACAGAATGGTCTCTGGCCAGACAAGTTGAGAAGACATTTTCTCCCTGGAACTAGTTTATTTTCCTGCTGGCGCAGGATGTATTGACACCCATCACAGCTCACAGAGAGGAAGACAATCAGGCTGAATAGTCCACAGATTTACTTCAATCTGACAAAACATCTAAAACATTGGGAGGTTAGCTATGAACTCATAAATTTGGAGAAATCTTTATCATTTGTGTCTTCAACCGGATGAAGCCTTGGAAGGACTTAGTGAAAATATCAGTCAAAGAAATCTGAGATCTAGTACTTCTCCATAGCTTCTATTTTCACGACCACCTTCCCCATTTCAGAAGGTGACAAAGGAGCAAATTAAAAAGACTTCCACCCTCTCCTCCACTCCTTGCCCCCTCACCTCACCTCAACATAAACACGTTTTCCTCTTTTCTCCACCAGTAACTTGTCACAGTAAACGCACCCGACTAAACCCAAATGAGGAAAGGAGGGTTTACACTGAAAATCTGTCTGTACCCTGCTAGCCACTACAATAGTGAACGCACTGCTGCTGTTTATTACAGCAGTGCACTTCAAGAACTGCATACGCAACCTGTTTTACAGAAGGAGACATTCACTCCCTTTGTCCCATACCTGCTTGCTGAGAAGTATGAGAAAACATTTACATGAGAAGTACCAACTTTACAATAAGACTGCCATTAAATTGCCTTCATCTTAAATTGCCTGTATTATTTGATACAACTTCTACTCTTCTTTGATCCCACTCATTTTAATATAGAGGAAATAACAGGATCTGCTCACAGGTGCCTGTATTGAATATGTTTGCACCAATCAACCAAACTCAGAACAAGGGACACAGAAGCAGAACATGCCGGTAGAAGAGATTTTACCTGAGATGCCTCCAGTGCTCCGAACACTGGCATGGCCAATGCTGAGACGCTCATATTCCAGTTTCATGTTCCCAAGGTCTTCTCCTGAATGTCCTTCACTGGCAAAAGAATTGGCCTCAATGCTTGAGCCTGGAGACCTTTTGGCCTTGCGACTGAAAAGCCCACTGGCAAACCGTTTTCCTTGCTTTGAATTGGCCTGTGCATCTTCTTTCTTCACATCTCTAATAGACTCTCTGGATTTGGATTTATTTTTCAGGTCCATGTGGAGCCGTGAGAACAGTTTCTGCGGGCTCCGATTCAGCTTGTTCAAGTTCTCCAGAGGTGGATCAATTTCTGGGAACTCTTGCTCCAATGTGATTAAGTCATTCAGAAACTGATTTAACCGTTTCTTTGACTCACTTGTTTCTTCCTTTTCCATGTTCCCCTGATTATCCTGCCTGTGTCGTGAAGCCCAGAGCATCATATCACCACGGGTTGCCCCTGCCACTAAACCATACTTGGGGTTAATGAACTTCCGAGCCACAGTGGAGGAATGAAGGCCTGGCTTCCCAATTCCGGGAAGGAATGGGTTAGCAATACCCAGTTCCTTGTAGAAATTAACCTCCTCTGAGATGGCATAGAGCTCACGAAACTCAACGTCAAACATCTCCACGTGCTGTCCTGTCAAGACTAGCAGGATGTTTCTGTCAATGTGGGATGAACTCCATGTGAAGCTAAGAGTAGGAAACAGAACTGACATTAGATTTTTGGGTGCATACTTGATCCAGCGCACTTAACAATATCTAAGACACTACATGGGAATATGTAGCATTGTGCCATTTGCCCATATGCCCTTGCCAAGATGGGTCAGGATAGATACATGAAGCTCTTTATTATTGTTCTTTATTAGGCATGCAGTCCAGATCTGGAAGAAAAGGCCCTAAAACTCTAAAGGACAGTTTACCCTTTTAAAAAAGCAACACTGCATCAACAGGAGGAGTCTCCAGACTGAAAACCTCACTGAAGAGAACTGAGCACAGTGGCTGCTGGGGAGTCCTTGCAGACCACCACCTGATGCAGTGTGGAACTATCTCTAGCCCACTGAAATGGTCCACTAGCATGGGCATATTCCGTTCTCTCAGGAGCAGCTTGTGCTCTATGCCACCTTGTTCTGGTTTCAGCTGGAATAGAGTTAATTTTCTTCCTAGTAGCTGGTATAGTGCTGTGTTTTGGATTTAGGATGAGAATAATGTTGACAACACACTGATGTTGTAGTTGTTGCTGAGCAGTGCTTACACTAAGTCAAGGACTTTTCAGCTTCTCATACTGCCCTGCCAGCGAGGAGGCTGGGGGGTGCACAAGAAGCTGGGAGGGGACGCAGCCAGGACAGCTGACCCAAACTGGCCAAAGGGATATTCCGTACCATATGACACCATGCTGAACAAAAAACTGGGGGGAATTGGCCGGGATGGGGGTCACAGCCACTGCTCGGGAGCTGGCTGGGCATTGGTCAGTGGATGGTGAGCAATTGCATTGTCCATCACTTGTTTTGTATATTCTTTTATCATTATTATTATTTTCCCTTCCTTTTCTGTCCTATTAAATTGTCTTTATCTCAACCCACAAGTTTTACCTTTTTTCCAATTCTCTCCCCCATCCCACTGCGGGCGGGGGAGCGAACAGCTGTGTGGTGTTGGGCTGCCTGCCGGGTAAAACCACGACACACCTTCTCTGTCGTCCCACCCCAATTTCTACAGATGCTACACAGAGTACGGAGGCTGGGATAAGAAAGGGAATAACATGGGAAGAAGATTCTCAAGCAAAGCCACAAGCCACTCTTTACACAAAGAATGTGGCTTTGCCGAAAGCAAGAGCGACCCACCTGTATGACCCAGTGGCCACCTTTTCACCATCCACCATCAGGAATCGTGATGCCAATGTGCCTCTGATCTTCCCTGCTGGCATGTAGAACCCAACTCCTGTCACAGAACGTATGCGGATATTCTAACAGGGAGGTGAAAAGACAAAATGTCACAATAAATAGGGCAGAGAATTAGATAATTGCCAGCTCCAAGTCTTAACATGTCACTCACATTATCTCACTACTTCTGGGACTACAGCTCATTTTGTATCAGCCACCAGAAATCAGAAGGACTACAGAAAGGAAGGCATAGTGCCGTAAGACCTGTTGTCATCCTCTGTCTATCCAAGTCACTCCCCTCCATCAGTTCATAGCCCAGTCCAATAGGTCAGCATCTTTGTAACCCTGCCTGCTGCCTTCAGCTATTCATCTTAGCCCACTGGCAAGACAATGCTTTCAAAATCAAATAATCCTCCATCTCCAGTCCTGTGCTGTAGCTCAGAAGGCCCAGCCCAGTTCAGGGGAATGAATCAGAGGAAGCTCTGAGTCACGTCTGCACTCTCTGAATCCTGATCCCTATTCCACGGCACTCGTGAGCTCTTCTCCAGACTACGTTAGCAGGAGCACAAAACCAAGGAACTTTGCAACACCTGTGCAGTGCAAAGGACAGAGTTACTTGGAGGATAACGTATGAGACAGATCTATATTAGGTTCTTTTTGTGCTTGTGTTCTGATCCCAGCAACACATGACTTGACAAAACTGGGCAAATTAGAAAACTGGACAATTTAATTATTACAGAAGAGAGGAGGAAACAGTTCTATTGCTCAAAACATAGATGTTTTCTATCTGTTATAACAAAAGGAGAACCCTGACCTTTATCATTTTGCTAAGAACCCCAAACAGTTACAGTGTCCACCCAGATTCCTTACTTTTCAACAGAGAGTAAAAAAACTCAGAACTTCCCTTGAACAAAAGGAGTAGGATAAGTGTCTCTACTTTCAGCAAAGAAGAATTTCTCAAGAAGAGGAAGGAAAAACCTTTCATGAAATGAACGGGAGTAGCTAGAAAAAGATAATACCTCCCCCCAAACCTCCCGTCTCGCACCCTTAGGCCAGAAAACCTACAAGTAATAAAACAAAGCACTAGCAGGGACAGAGAAAACACAGATTTAAGGTTACATGATTTTCTACAACAGATGTGTGCCTGCACATACTATAAGAACATATTTGCACACTGCACTGAGTGTTATTCTGCTCATGGGTCCTGGCTGCATGAGGCTGAATTGCCAAACAGGTAAATGTACTGTTTAACACGAAGAAAAACTCCAACAAAAACCAAAAGCATTAACTGTCAGTGTAAGTTTAGAGCAAGTTATCTTGTTGCTCTGACACACAAATTTAGACCATTTTCCTCATTCCACCATCTGTTGCTGTAGGAATTCTTTAACAATGAAAAGCTAAAAGGTATTGTGATCTGGAGTAATAAATCCAGGGTTGGGAGTCAGATAGTCCCAAGTGTAATCACAGTTCTGACACCATTCCCTGTAATGTTCTGGGAAAGTCCATTCACTTTTGCCTCATTCTTCCCCCATCTGCAGAGCAGGAGAATCATGAGGATTTGGCTAATGCTAGCACAGCCTCAGATCCCATAAAGAGCTAAGTTCTATTATAATAAACCTCACTGTCAGCTTAAATATTGATAGGCTATAAAAATCTGCATGCAGGAATGAGTGATTATAAGAATGCAGATTTCTTTCAAAAAAGTGTTTGCTGAATATAACTCTTATCTTTTGAATCTGCTCCTATTTTCCCCACTAAAATACAGCAGTGGCAGTACAAATTCTGACTAACAGTAACTGATGATACTAGTATTTTGCGTTCATCTACTGCTTGATCTGTCTGGAGTCCTGTGTGGGCATTAGCTAATTAATGCTCCCAACACTGCTGAAAGTATTATTATCCTGTTTTAAAGACAAGGAGCCTGAGAGAGAAAAAGATGAAGTGACTTGCCCAAGGCCTAGCAGTGAGTCATATGTGTGGGATGCTGAATGCAGGTTTGGTAGAGCACAGGAGAAAGGGTGCCCTTTCCAGTATTTAGAATAACATTTGGAGTTGGCTGGCTGATCACCTGAAATAATTCTTTTTTCTTTGCTGAGTAAAGCTAGATGTGGGATTTGCCAAATCAGGGAATATTGACTGCAGGGGTCAAGAAGGACCTCAAGGACCTCTATTCTTCAAATCAGTCAACAGCTCTGACATGTCATGTACCTTTGTGAAGCAAGAAGTATCATCCTGTGTGAGCAGAAAGTTTCCTAGCAGGTAACAAGTGTCGATTTTATTGTGTTTGTATGTTATATCACCTTCTTTTGGTGAAAAGAAAGCACATTTGAATTTCTGCAGTAACTGAGCTACACATAACACTTAGAAAAGCACAGAGGGCATAGAACCAAACAGCCAAACACATAAACCTCCTTGAGCAAAGTAGGCACAGGAGTAAATAAATACATCTTGAAATGCAGAAAACAAGCACAAAGTCATATAAACATCGAGTCACTTAACAGGTTATTTGTATAATGTTTTCTGCCTTGAAGGATCTTGGAGCATTTGTAGACTGATATATCAAGCGGTACAGAGGAGGAACAAGCCTAGGTTCATGTACTGAAGACTACACAACAACAAAAGAGGAAAGACAAATATAAATGAGGTGAGATTGCAGCCATCTTGGGGAGGGCACTAATGTTAAAATAGTAACAAATATTTTGGGTAGAGGACCAGTTAGTTCACCAGGTAGAAGTGATCCCTCCAGATCTGTATTCTTGCAGAAGCCTGCTTAAGGTTTGTCATATGGAAGCTGCAGTCTGCATTAAATTTCCACATTTCCTTTACACAGGCTTGCACCACTCCTCATCACAAGCAGTGACTAACATCTCCCTGGCAGCAACTTAATACGGACTGGTAACACTCAAGCCTGACAGAGCATCCTAATACAAACAGTGAAGGAATCAGTCTTTCTTGCTTTACTGTGACGCACTTTTAAACCTCACCCTGAATCCACAGAAAGTTAAATTAGACCCAGTTTAGAAAGTTAGTAATAGGTTGTGTTGTGACTGACATTTAGTTGTCCCTTGACAGACCTGGGCAGCAGTGCCCACAAGCTGGGGTCAAGTAGAGCGAGATACACAAGACAGACCCTAAAGGCAAGCATTGCAAGTACTTCCACCAGGGAAGCCTGTGTGTACGTTCCCTCTCAGAACAACCACTGGTATATATATTGCAAAGCAAGCAGGGATCTCTATTTCAAGTTGGGATGGATGGCATGAATAACCTCTATAAATTAACAGATGTAAAACAGATAAATGAGAGGCAACAGAGAAAAGCAGTAGCTGATAGATGACAGTGACTCAACAGTGTCTGTGTTTTTGACCGTGTTTTTCAAAATGCAGACATCCCCTTTCTGCTGTCCCTGGAAAAATCAGATCCCTTCAGTCAATAGCATCTGCTGGGGTAGCTCTTGTCCTCTGTTCTCTTATAATACTGCTTCACCTGAGCACAGGGCTGAGGGGGAGGCCCCAGATGCCTGTTATTTTCCACTCTAAAATCCTAGATGGAGGTTTCACAGAAGGGGGAAAGAAGAAGAGAGATATGGGATTCATGTGGACAGGACCACAGTAACAACAGACAAGGAATCTTTCTTATTCATGGCCTGCAAGGTTCTCATTTCTGGTGATCAGACCTCTAGGTCAGAGAAGTGGGTGGTAGGTGCTCATCTTACACAGGGACACAAAAGCAGCCACAATTTGGAAGCAGCCACCACATAATGTGTTTGCCCTGAACAGTTTTGGAAAAGGTATGCTTGTTGACAACATAGTAAAACTTGCAGCTATTCAAGCAGAATAGGATGGAATGCAGCTAGCTGGACCTGGCCTGCCAAGGTCACTACTGGCTATTATTTGTTTGGGTCTTTGCAAAAAGAGAGCCTGTAAGCCCCCATTTTTGAAAGTTCACAAGCAACCTAGAAGAATTGTCTAACAGATAATTAAAAAAAACAAGCACTGCATTACATCACCTTTGGCTTCTCACTCACTTGAGTTAGGATTAGATGAGGAAAGCTCAGAGGTAAAGACATGAAATCCTGAAATGAAATTCCAAAAATTTCTTAGGCAGAAACTTTTAAGAATTCCTGCAGTGAGGAGAGGAACTCCTTACATGTTGGGAAAACGAATGTGAAAATTATCATGAAGGTGAACTTCCTGCAGATAACTCATTCCCTGGGCTTGCTTGGAGCTCTAGGTGAACTCCCTGTCTTTGAGCAGGAGTGTCTCTTACTGGGGTTTTCATTAGCAGAAGCATGGGGAGGAAGAGAACTCATCTAAAAACTGGTGAGAACGCTCACCCTCAGGTCAACAAAAAGAGGACTTTTTGTGGGGCTATGAATTTTTTATCTATGAGAACTTTGCTTCATTGTGATCTCAAAAGAACACTCTTGTGTCAAACATAACAGAAGTCTGGAAAACCACGTCCCGTAGGCTCAGGAAGCCATATGACTCATACGCACAAGACACACTCTTGCTAACATCCTAGGATGAATGTACTGATGGTTGAATTTAAATGCATTTCTAGTGATCTGTGGCCTTCAGACAAAAATTGAGGTTTTCTCATTTCATGCTTGGAGTCAGTAAAGAACTTTTTGTCTTTGGAGAGTGAGGTACCGTCTTCCTACAGCAGTTTCCCTCCTGTGAGACTGTCAGCAGATCATGATACCTTGCCATCTCAAAACAATATAATAGCCAGGAATTTTGTGAAAACGCCCAGCACTGTATGTAGACAAAGGGCAAAATCCAGTGTTAACAGTAAATCTCCCTGTATTAGGACCGTTGAAGTATTCACTCTGCATTGGATGAACAGGGCAATGGAAACAAAAGGGCAGGAATCACAGAGCAATCTGAGCATCTGGTGATGACAGAAGACAGAATAAGCATCCTGACCCTGCAACAATGACAGCCCATTGTAATGTGTCATCTCTCTCTCTCTTTTTCTCTGGTCTGATAACTCGC